AAAAAAAAAAAAAAAAAAAAAAAAAAAAAAAGATAAAGAAAAAAAAAATCAATGGAAAACTAAGTGATGTTTAATTTCACTTTAAGTTTTATACTGATTAGCTCCTTTTATCTTTACATTACATTACATTCATATTAATTAATGATATTAATAATTACGTGTTTGATAACATTATTTTCTATAAATAGAGAAACAATGTGCACTAATTGATGAAAGTGGCTCAACTTGGTATGATAATTAAATACTCATTAGATAAATTGTGTTTTTCAATATTTATACCCACCCAACGCATAATAGGATAAATTTGTGAAAATATGCTCGAGTTAGATAAAGACCGGAATCGATTTGGTCATATTTATCCATATCTATAGATCAACTTGTAACAACAATTTCAATACAATAATGCAAGCGAAGAATTTTTTTTTTTGCATAATTTTGATATAAAAAAAAGGGTTTCTTCCATAACATCTTTAATAATGATCTACATTATGTACTGATGTCCAATTTCCCTTTAATGGGAGACGTTATTAACTCTACTTTAACCACATTTTTTTTGAAGGAATCATGCCACGAAGTAACTCTGAGTTACTTATGAAAATTCTGGAAATATTTCAAAGGCCACTGTTTCTTTTGGTTGCCTTTGCATTCATTAAAAATGGCATTCTAGTGAACAAATCCTTCAATTAGTCTCTGGTTTAATTTGCTATTTTTTGTATATAATGCTGCATACTATTCATAATCGATCCTTTGTCTCTTTTCAAGACAATCGATACCATGCGCATGCAAAAAATTGTAAAAGACGCCATAAGCTTCCAATCGATTTTCGTCTTTCTGACGGATCATTGTAGTATTCATTGGACTCGGCCGGATCTAACTTTCATCGCCATACCCGCCTGGCAAAGGTTTTTCATTAAAGTTGACATGATTTCCGGCCAAGATATGTTCAAAATTTGAAAGTGAATAACATAAAGATAGAGAACAAGTGTTTTTTTTTTTTTTTTTTTTTTTTTGCTCCTATGTATTGAAGTATAGGCAACTTTTTGAATATTTTAAGAAAGAAGACTACATGATAATATGATAATCTTTTGACCCCGCCTTTGAACTAGAAATTCTTCCCAAAAGCCAATTAAAAAACGAAACTTTTGCGTTTAAGCAATTTGAGCAGTGCTTTCGGTACTCCACTAGAAATGGTATCAATCTTTTCTGATTTAGGGAAAAACGAAAATTCCTACAGGATAAAAGATACCTTAAAAAAAATATATATATATATATATATATCATAGGAAAATGTCAAAGAAAATGATACGTAGTGAGTGAAATGGCATTAGAATTGTGCGACGCTTAATAATTTCCTTTCATTTAAACCACACGAGTATGTAGAGTGTCTAATGTCGCCCTATTCCGCCGTAATAGATTCCTTTTTGATTGATTTCTAATAGCTAATGACCGCCTAGAGAACCAACTCTTAACTTACTATACTTTTTTTTTTGACTTTTATCAGTGTGTGGTGGTGGGTATAAAAAATTCGATCTAAACCGAATAATTTCTGTTTCGACTTTAAAAGCATTATTGTCTAATCATTAACTGTTAAACATTAAACCGCATTTGCGGAAAGTCCTACCAAAAAGAAAATTAAGTTTACAAAATGTTAAGAAACTTAAATTAAAAAAAAAAAACAAAAAGAAAAAAATAAAAATAACTAACTAAGTAAATTAGAGTTAAATCAGAAAATGGAATTGTGTGAAGAAATGAAATCGAACGATTTGCATACGTAGTTGTTAGATGCTGATGCTGATGCTGGTGCTGCTTGTGTCGTGTTCCTGTTGCTGGTTTTTCGTTGTTGATGTTGTTTGTCGATGATGGAAAACGAAAGACATTACATTAAACTTATATAAAACTGGAAAACTTGACAGCTAAGATGAATGTGTACTCGTTGGCTAAGCGGTCAGGCTGCGACTGCACGAATGCGAAGTGCACACATGTTAAAGCATACAGCATATGCTGAGTAATCATCAGAGGTAAACAAGAAAAAAAAAAAAAGGAAAAGCTTACAACGCTTATATATGCGTATGCTTGCATGTCTCCATCTGGTTTTTGGTTAGGCTGCTGTTGCTCTTTCGTTTGTGTGTTTGTTTGTTTGTTTAGTTGATTGAATGGTTGTGGTTGGATTATGTACACTTTATAAAGAGTGAAAGTGAAAGTCATTTCGTGTGATTATAGCGGTTTTTATGATATTCGTATATATATATATATATATATCCACGTATACATCTATTTATGAGTGAATGATTTTTCCCCTTAGGGGGCGTGTTGTTTTGTGGTTTTCAAATATATATATATATATATATATATATATATATTTTTTTTTTTTTTTGGTTCATATTTGGTTAACATAACTTTTACGTATTTGTTGGTAAATTGTTTTTTTCATTTTTTTTTTTTTTTTTTTTTGTTATTTATTCATTAATTTTAATTCTTTTCAATTCTCTTTTACGCTTTTGCTTTTCAGTTGAATTTACAACTGTTGAAAGCTATTTAAAAATCAATTAAACGGAAACAGGAAATATTAACACAAACAACTCTGTTGCCAAAAACAAAAAAAGCAAAAAACAAAAAAAAAAAAACATTATAAAGCGGTTTCTTTTTTTATATTATTTTTAGTGAAATATTTTATGTTAAGCCGACAGTATGACGTTAATGTTTTCTTCTCTTCCTCTTTTTACAGTATTGTTCGCAGTGATTATATAATGATTTTATGAAGATGATGACACTGAGCTAAAAAATAGCTTCTTTTTTTTGTTTTTTTTTTTTTTTTTTTTTTGCATTACTATTATTAGCAAACAACGCATTTCGTAGTGTTGCGTAAAGTTAAATTTAATGATCTTTAACTAGTGTTCAAATTTTCTTGTTCCTCCTTTTTTTTTTTTTCTTCTTCTTTGAGGTTTACGACGTTTTGCTAATTTAAAGTACGGTCTTATAACGATTTGTGTTTTTTTTTCTTTTGGTTTTTTTTTTATTATTATCTAAGGCAGTTGGAGATGATTTGGCTTGTGGTTGTTACTGCTGCTGCTGT